CTTAAAATACCCAGACTCAAGAGTTTCTGTGGCTTGCTCACAGTGCTTAGAGTATGAAAAGCAGGTGGCAGGGCCAGGGAGACAGCTCGGTAGAAAAAGTACCTGCCTGGCAAGACCAGGGCCCTGAGTTCAAGCCCCAGTACCAAAAAAAAAAAAAAAAAAGAAGAAGAAGAAGAAAAGAAAGAAAGAAGGAAAATCAGATTGCATGTTCTGCTTGTGTTTCTACATTCCAACTTTCACTTGGCCTCTGGTGATACTTTCTCATTGGTCTTACAACATTTTTTTTTTTAATTAAAAAAAAATTTTTATTCATTTCAGTGAGAAAAAAATAGCAATGAAACAGTTTCTCTTTCTTTCTTTCTTTCTTTCTTTCTTTCTTTCTTTGTTTCTTTGTTTCTTTGTTTCTTTCTTTTTGGTTGAATGGGGGATTGAACACAGGCCCTTGCACTTGCCAAGCAAGCACTTATTCCACTGAGCTATCTCCCCCTGCCCTGCAATGAAACAGTTTCAAAACAGATTAGTAGGACAGTTACAATAATTAAACATTGCATATTGTTGTCTTCATAGTAGTTATTCAGAGGACAAGATGCAGACATGCTATCTAAACAATATTAGCAAAAACCTTTCTTCTCATTGAACTAATAGAAGGTAGGCATGTATCTATCCTAAGTATTTTGTATATTAAAAGGTGAATTTTGCACAGCTACCTTTTTAGGAGTATCTTTGAGTTCTTTGCAAATACAGTTTCAGGTACAGATGGTATTAGGGTGTCTGTTTTGCTGTAGAAGAAGCAAAGCAGAGAGATTGTTTGGTGTAGTCCTGCTCTGAAGATCAAGCAGAAACTAATGTGTAACACACATTCTAAATAATGTTATATCTTAGCTACCATTTGATTTTTATATACCTCAAAGTTTCTTATCCATTATACTATAGGAAATGGTATACCTATAATAAACCTTTATACATTATCTTTGTTTTTGTTGGTTTTTTAAAGAGTTACTTTTCTGGATGGAGAGAGGAAGGAGAAGTGGCAGTAGGTATATGGACCAATTCCCTAAGATGGATGTCACTATTATGTGTTAAAAACATATGCCAGTAAAATTTTATTTTTCTTTTTTAATATTTCAGTTTTATCTGTGTTTCTATAGGGCTTTTATATCTGCCAGTTTAGTTTTAACAATCTGTATTTTAACATAGACTATTTTTTTTAACATAGACTCTTATTGGGTGATTTTTTTGGTACTTCTGACCAGTATAAGCAACAACTATCGACTGCGTGCTTGTCTTACACCAGGCAGTGCTTGAGGAATGAGGTCTGTAGAAGTAAACCAGACGGACAAAATTCCCTGTGTGTAAGGGGCTTCGGTCTAGTATAGAAGGTATGGATATGGAGGTATCAGGTAGTAATGCTGAGAAAATGTAGAGATGAGAATAATCAGGAATCATTTGCAAATGGACTAACATTTTTTTTAAATTTTATTTGTGTGTGTGTGTGTGTGTGTGTGTGTGTGTGTGTGTGGCCAGCTCAGCCCAACAGGGTGCGGGGCTGGCTGGCGTGTGGTGCTAGGGGATTGAACTGCGGTCCCTGTGCTTTGCTAAGCTTGTTCTAAGTAGGTGCTTTAGACCACTAGAGCCATCTCACCAGCCCCTGGACTAACATTTTTAAAGAAAAGTAGGCTTATGCTGTGAGCCTGCCAGAGAAAAGATGTGTTATATAAATGTGTAGAGACATAGTTTTGAGACAAAAGCCTGATGTCCCAAGAGAGTAGGGAACACTGGACTGAGCCGGAGGAGGGTTGCTGTCTGTTTGCAAATTCCCGGAAAGCTGGGACCCAAAGCAGCAGATAACAGCTTCTCCTGCAGGCGTTCTGTCCTTTGATCCCTTGCTTGGGATGTTATGGGCTAGCACTTGTGTGAACCTAGTGTTAGGCAAATGGTGGGAGTTAATAGAGACAGTAGTTTGTACTCACTTAGGTAATTATGCACATTCCTTAGTCTGCCTTTACTCCTCAGTAAATGTGAGATGCTTCTGAGGCTCTGGGCTCACTTGGAGAGAGACTAATCTCAGTGAGATCTCTGAAGCTACATTCATCAGGTCTTCTCGTTGTTTCTTTCGGCACCGACCCATAACATACAACATAAATGCCAAAGAAAACAAGGACTCTGTCCTTTTCTGTTACACCTCAATTTTTTTTCCTCAAAAATCTAATATTTAGGGCCTTGGAGATAGCTCAGTGGTCTAAGCACCTGCCTAGGCAAGCACAAGGACCCAGGTTTGATCCCCGGTACCACATGCCCTGCTTGCGCCGCCCCAGGTACTACAAGTGGGCCACCAAACTCAGGCATCCAAGCTTAAATACTGCATGGTTCCCCTTATATATTTAAATAAAAGACAGATAGAAAGAAGGTATAATGCAGCACAGACAATATATCTAAAAGTGTACTTTGTGTTGGGCATGATGGCACATGCCAGTAATCCTGACACTTGGAAGGCTGAGACGGGAGAACTGCAGGGAGTTTGAGGCCAGCCTGGGCTACCCAGTGAGTTCAAAGCCAACCTGAACTATATAATGAGAGAGGCCTGTCTAAAAAAAGTAAAATGGTCTTATATGTTCTGTGGCCTGCTAGTCTGACTTCTATGCTGTATATATAATTGACTTTTTTGTTGTTGTATTTGGTATTTGGTACAGCGTCTCACTATGCAGCTTGGGCTCATAGTGGTCCTCCTGTTTTCAGCCTCACCAGCGCTGGGATTACAGGTGTGCCCCACCGCTCCGGGTCTTGGTGTCTGGCTCACAGCACTGGAGGTGGGGCTGGCTGGAGGTGGGGTGGGGCCAATGCCGGGAATCTAACACCGAACCAGTCTCTGTGTTTGCCTAAGCAAGCGCTTAGTCTGCTGAGCTATCTCACCAGCCCACACACTTAACTTTATAAGGTCTTTCTTCCTTCCTTCCTTCCTTCCTTCCTTCCTTCCTTCCTTCCTTCCTTCCTTCCTTCCTTCCCTGTACCAGGGATTAAAGTTGGGACCTTGCACTTGCCAGGTAGGTGCTTATGCTGCTGAACTATATCCCCAGCCACTTATAAGGACTTATAAAATGAATCAATGGGGGAGTGTAGAGAGAGGGGGTATAAAGGAATTTAAATATGTCATGCACATATAACAGTTCCCTACAGTGAATGTGATCATTACATACTGTAAACATGCAACATATAAGTAAAAATAATTTTTTTTTTTTTTTTAATTTTAGGGAAGGGTCTACAGGGTGTTCAGGGTCTCAATACTAGATTGGACTCATAGTGATTCACCTATTTACAGTCTCCAAAGAGCTGGGATTACAGGTGCACGCCATCATGCCCAGTCTGTCGCTGTCGCTGTCTCAGCACGCCCAGGGGTGGGCCCCACATGGCAGGCCTGGGGATTGAACCCCCAGGCCCTGTGTCTGCTTGCAGGCGCTTTAATCCATTGAGCTATTTTTTTTTTTTTTTATTTCCGGAACTGGGGATTGAACTCAGGCCCTTGTGCTTGCCAGGGAAGCACTTATTCCACTGAGCCATCTCCCCGGCCCCTCCATTGAGCTACTTGACCAGCCCTTAGAAAATCTTTATACAATAACAATACAAATGTCCAATTTCTGTATCCCTTAACCCAACACAGTTTTGGTTCTGCAGTCAGGAAAACTGACTGTGACCTTGGCAAGTTGCTCACCCTCTTTCCCTCTGTAAAACAAGACGACTGCCTAGTTCTCTGAATTGATGGCTACAACAAGGTGACTTTTGTAACAGTGCTTGACCTTTGAACAAGGATTCAGTGTGGTTTCTTCCTTTTTCCTTCCCTGTCTGTGCTCTTCAGCCCTTGATGGTAAATTGTAGTGATAGGAATTTTATTCAGCACCGTGGAGAAAGCATGAGGCAGGCATAACTAAGAAGAACTGAAAAGAGCTAGAAATTCTGACATGCAAAGAAAACCACTTTCTGGAGTGCTTTTAAGAGGAGACAAAGCCCAGATCTGTGCCTTTTCCCCTGAGGGATATTTTCCATTATGTTGGGTGCTGGTCAGCAGCCCCCACAAATCTCCACTTGTATAGTCACATTTTTTTTTTTAATTTTTATTTATTTGTGTGTGTGTGTGTGTGTGGCCAGCTCAGCCCACCAGGAGGCAGCACTGGCTGGCGTGTGGTGCTGGGGGATTGAACCGCGGTCCTTGTGCTTTGCCAAGCTTGTTCTAAGTAGGTGCTTTAGACCACTGAGCCATCTCACCAGCCCCTGTATAGTCACATTTTGTGGTCTTCAGTTCTTTTTGTTGTTGTTGTTGATACAGGGTCTTGCTGTACAACTCAGGCTTGAAGTGAGCCTCCTGTCTCAGCCTCCCTGGCACTGGGATTACAGGCATGCACCATCATACCCAGTTTCGGGGCCAGCACAGCACGTGGTCCTGGGGATTGAACTTGACACCTTGTGCTGATCAGACAGGCACTTATGCCACCAAGCTCTCTCCCCAGCCCCTGCTCTTTAGTTCTTGTCACACTCAGCCGAGCAGAGGCACATCCCATGTGGTACATACAGAGCCATGTTCCTGCCAAGCTGGCTTTAATTCTGCAGTGTGAGTTGGTACATTTTCTTGGATTATTAGTGTGCCGCTAAAAGTGAAGGAAGTAGAAGGACTAAGGTAAAGCTGTAAGATGCATGTAGTTTGGGCATGAATTAAGCTGCAATGCTGACTTCAGAAGTAGAATTAGATCCTAAGGTAATTCATGTTGCCTTCATGAGGTTTTGTTTGAATTGAGGGGCCTGAGACGGGCTTTAGTGTTGATTTTGACAGTGGCTCGTCAAGGATCTCCGTCAGTTCCTCCTGTTTGTATCACAAGCAATTCCTCCTGCATTTCTGTGCCTTATATGGCTGCGGTAATTATATAAGATCTGAGTGACATCAAAGACAAAAACTAATGATAAACATAGGACAGTATTTACATTGCACCTCTTGGGTTTCTGTCTGTCCCCAGCCCTCACACTGACCATGCCCTGCTGGGTGTGCCCCTCCTTTGACTCGCTGCGGAGATGCCCCCTGGCCTCGGAGAGCAGCTGGACCACCCATTCTGAGGACACCAGCAGTCCTAGCCTTGGCCCTTCCTACACAGACCTGCAGCTCATCAACGCAGAGGACCAGGCCAGCGGCAGGGCCTCGGGGGCTGACTCCACGGGTAAGCTGAGCTGGAGCCGGAGCGCTTGCACAGTTTCCAGGTCCTCCTCAAGGCCTGTGGTCAGCTTGCTTTGCAGAATGAGTTCAGGTGTGGTCACGCAGTCAAAGAAATTTGAAATTGCATTAGGAAAAATGCACCAGATTGGCTGATTGGTTGGCTGATGAATCATACTGTGAACCCATTTGACAGTGTACCTTGATGTGTTACTTTTTCTGTTTGGGTGCGCATATCGTTATTTTCCTCATGAGCTGTATGCAAAGCGCACAAAGCTGGAACTTTCATCCTCCTTCGCACGCGTTCTGCCCCTTCAGCAGGCAGGAGGCGGATTTAAACAGAGCCAAAGTGAATGTTATATGAAACAGTGAGAAGCGAAACTCAGCCACTGTGTCCAGACTACGAATCACTGGCAGTTAAACGCTTGTTCCCTCATGCCTTGACTGAGATCTGTGCCGCTCTGTGGTGTCCACCATGTCCTCTGTCCTGCTCTTCTGTGGGCAGAGGCTGCAACGCTGGTGTCCTTGCAGGCAGAGCGTGGGCCTCCCAGCAAGCACTGTGCCAGGGGAGAGACTTGCGTGTCCCTGGAAGAAGTATGTTCTTGGTGCTTTGTTTCTTTAGCTTGGATTTCTCTTTGAAAATGATAGTGTTGGGGCCAGGGAGATAGCTCAGTAGAATAAGCACTTGCCTGGCAAGTGCAAGGGCCTGAGTTCAATCCCCTGTCCTGCCAAAAAAAAAAAAAAAAAAAAAAAGGAAAATGATAGTGTTAATGTTAGTTTTATGTGGATGAAATGACCCTGTGTTGATGGTATTTAAATTTTTTTTTTTTTTTTTTTACTCAAAAATGTCATGTAGGAGTTTGTCTCTAGACCATTTTTCATGTTTGGATATGATTCGCCTTCATGCTTTATGCTACTGGATTCTAGCATGAGTATATCCTTGGTACAGACCAAAGGGTTCAGCTAGGATCTGGTTTGACATTGGATGATCTTCCAGGGTCTCTGTTTGTTTTTAGAGACAAGAACTCACTGTGTAGTTCAGGCTGGCCTTGATCTCTGTGTCATCCACGCTGACCTCAAACCTGGGGGAGCCTTTCTGTCTCAGCCACCCAAGTGCTGGTATGACAGGTGTTTCCACCACACCTGCATTTACAAGCCACAGTTTTTTTGTTGTTGCTGTTGTTTTTCTTCCACCAGTACTCCTTCAGTTTTCATTAATCTTGTGAGAGGCTGGCTGGTGATGGTATGGAACCACACTCCCTTTCCACGTGGGGATCAGAGGAATGGGGTGGCACCTGCAGCACTGGAGGCTCTCAGCAAGAGAGGCTGCCTTCCCTCCTCACCTCTCCTTACTCTCATTTCCAGTCCTTCCTGGAGGCAGTCAGTGTGTGTACTGGTTAAGAGGGCCTTGAAACCTGTATTAAACTGCTCAGGTTCGAATCCAAGTTCGGCCCTGTGTTAACTGTGAGACATGATGCAAATCCCTACTGTTGGTTTTATTTCACGACATGGGGATTGCTGAGCTATATCCCACCTCAAGATCCTATTTATTTATTTATTTATTTATTTATTTTATGTGTCTGGGGCTGGCCAAATAGCTCAGTGGATTAAAGTACCTGCTTAGGCAAACGCAGGGGCCCTGAGTTCCATCGCTGGGCCTGCTGTGCTGGCCCCACTCTTGAGGTGTGCTGAGACAGAGACGGGACTGGGCGTGGTGGCACATGCCTGTAATCCAAGCTCTTGGGAGGCTGAAGACAGGAGGATCACTGCGAGTACAATCTACATAGTCAGTTCCTATAGACCCTGTAGACTCTGTCCTAAATACAGAAAAAAAAAAAATTACGTGTCTGATACAGGGTCTCACTACACAGCTCGGACTCGTAGTGATCCTCCAGACTCAGCCTCCCCAGCCTAGGATTGCAGGCATGCACTACCACGCCTGGACTTGGTGGCCAGCTCGACACACCCACCGTAGGATCAGCATGGCAAGTGGTACCGGGGAATGAACCTGGGTCCTTGAGCTTGCCTAGGCAGGCGCTCAGGCTGCTGAGCTATCTCTAGGGCCCAGATCCTTTTTATTTTAAGCCTGCCAGGAAAGATGTGTAGTCTTCACCAGGCAGAGTAGCTGTGTAATGTCTCTGCATTAAATGGGTTTGCAGGGCCGGGGAGGTGGCTCAGGGGAATAAGCGCTTCCTTGGCAAGCACAAGGGCCTGAGTTCAATCCCTGGTTCCACTAAATAAATAAATAAATAAATAAACAAACAGACAAATAAATAAATAAATGGGTTTGCGAACAGGAAGGAGAGAGGAGAAGCAAAAGCAAGCCTCTGCCGTGGAGGTCCATCCCAGCCAAGGGAGTGGAAGCACTCAGTGTCAGCAGTAACACAGGCAACTGCCGTGCCAGGGCCTGAAGTTTGGGTTTTTTGTTCATTTGTTTGTTTTTTGTATTCTAGGGAAGGGTCTACAGGGTATTTAGGGTCTCACTACTAGATTAGACTCCTAGT